ACATAAATTTATATGAAAATGCAAAGGACCTACAGTATGTTTTTATTTTTATATTTTAAAAATGTAAAATATTTTTTCAAATGACCAAAGCTGACAGACTCCTGTAGCTGATTTCAAGGAATATAGTAAATTTATAGCAATGGTTCACAACTGAAAACTATTTTCCCCCCAGGGGACATCTGGCAATGTCTGGAGACATTTTCGGTTGTCATAACTCAGGGGAAGGGGTGCTACTAGCACCCAGTGAGTAGAGGCCAGGGATGCTGTTAAACATCCTACAATGCACAGAATAGCCCTCACAGCAAAGAATCATCTGGCTCAAGATGTCAGTAGTGCCAAGATTGAGAAACTCTGATCACAGTAATCAAGGCAGTGTGGTATGGATCAACAAAACAGAACAGAGCGTCCAGGATGTATGGACCCACACATCTATGACTGAGCTTTGACAAAGGTGCTGGAGTATTTCAATGGGGGAAAGGAAAATCTTTTCAACAAGTAGTGTTGGCATAATGGATAGCCGAATGGAAAAATAAATCTTGATCCCCACCTCAAATCATGTCAGTTAACTCAAAAGAATCATAGTTCAAAATATAAAAGCTAAAGCTATAGAGCTTCCAGAAGAAAACAGAAATAAATCTTCACAATCTTGGGATAGGCAAAGATTTCTTAGGATTCCAAAAGCACAAATGAAAAAAAAATAGATTTCATCAAATTTAAAAACTGCTGTTCCCTAGAAAGGCATTGTTAAGAAAATGAAAAGGCGAGACACAGCTTGGTAGAAAATATTCACGATACATATTTCTGACAAAAGACTTGTATCCAGCATATATAAAAGCTCTTACAACATAACAATAAGACAGACAACCTTACAGAAAAGATATTTTGGGGCTTCCCTGGTGGCACAGTGGTTGGGAGTCCGCCTGCCGATGCAGGGAACACGGGTTCGTGCCCTGGTCCGGGAGGATCCCGCGTGCCGCGGAGCGGCTGGGCCCGTGAGCCATGGCCGCTGAGCCTGCGCGTCCGGAGCCTGTGCTCCGCAATGGGAGAGGCCACAGCAGTGAGAGGCCCGCATACCGCAAAAAAAAAAAAAAAAAAAAAAAAGATATTTTGAAAAGGAGTTTCCTTTTCTAGCGTGATAATGTAAGGTCACTATCGTTCATTCTTCCCGTTGATTATGACTAAAGATTCTGAACAAGATACAAAAACCAACTACCTGAGAACTCTAGAAAGTAGATGAAACAGGTTGTGGAGGAGAGTCAAAACTTGGACAAGTGATCCATGCAGGGGTAGTTTTACTAGGTTCCTTCTTTTTCTCTCTGTGTCTCTGTGTCTGTCTGTCTCTCTGCTTTGCCTAGAGGGCAAACTCCATGAGCACAGTAGCAAAAGCAACAGTGGAAGGAGGGGGACCCTGGAAGGACAGAGAGTGTGGGGGAAATCCAGGAGGAGAGAGAGAGCCAGAAAAGAGGTCCCTTAATTCTTCAAACCTGCATACAAGTGTTGACCTAACCCCTGAGATACACATGAGTGGGACAGACCCAAACCAGCACAGCCAAGCTTTGAGAACCAAAGTCAGGTTTAAACCGTGTGCATAAAAACTTTTTAAAATGAGTTGTATGATTTCAGGGACACATATTTTTAGCCTAATCACTAAATAATGTAAGTTCAGGACAGACCCAAGCCACCACTACAACACAACACAGCAAAGGCTTAGAAAAGTGAACTCAGATTTGAACCACGGCGTACAGAAGGTAAGACAGAACTTGCAGCTTGAACCTAACAGAGTTGACTGCCTTCTAAAACAAAAAAATCAACTGTCTCCACAGGATGCTCTACAGGACCCAAATCTACACAACGTAATAGTCACCATGTCCAGGACATTTCAAAATTACCCAGCATACAAAGAACCAGAAAAATGTGGCCAGTTCTCAAGGGAAAAGACAAGAGATGCCAGCTTCAAGGTAACCCATGTGTTGGAATTATCAAAGGCTTCAAAGAAGCTTTTATAACCATGCTCCATCAGGTTAAAAAAAAATTCAGAATGAATAAAAGGGTAGAAGTTCTCAGCAGAGAAATAAAAACTATAAAAAAAGAACCAGATGGAATTATTAGAACTGAAAAATACAAAATCTGAAATTAAAAAGTTCACTGGATGATTTCAACAGCAGACTGGTGATGACCAGAGGAAAAACCTGTAAACTTGAAGAAATCGATAGAAATTACACAATCCGAGGATCAGAGAAAAAAGAAAATTAGAAAAAAAATGAGCAGAGCCCCAGGGATCTGGGGGAAAATATATATTTTAAAAGTAACATATGTGTCATTGGAGTCCCAGAGGGAGAGGAGAAGTAAACTGGGAAAAAAATACTTGAAGAATATTTGGCCTAAAGCTTCCCAAATATGGTGAAAGACATAAATTGACATATTCAAGAGGCTCTACCAACTCCCAAAAGGGTAAGGATATGAAAAATAATCTCTAGTGACAACAGGTCATAGTTGCCTGGGGATGGACCTGGAGGGAAGGAGAGATTACAGAAGTGCCAGAGGAAATTTGGGGGGGTTGATAAAAATATTTGTTAACCTGACTGTGGTAATGGCTTCTCAGGTGTGGACGTAAGTGAAGACTTATCAAATTGTACACTTTGAATAGATGCAGTTTATAGTACTTTAATGATAATAAAGTTGTTAAAATTGGCAAAACATTTGGACGCTTGCAAATGAAGATACATAAATTGACAACATGCACGTGAAAAGATGCTAAGTGTCGTTAGTAATTAATGCAAATTAAAACCATAATAACATACCACTATATACCCACTAGAATGGCAAAAATTTTAAAGTGATGGCAAGAATGTGAAGCAACTAGAATGTTCATACATTGCTTTTGAGAATGTAAAAATGGTACAACCATTTTGGAAATAGTGTGGCAGTGTCTTATTTAGTTAAACATGCACTTACCACGTGATCAAGCTACGCGCATCCAAGGTATTTACCTAAGAGAAATGAAGACTATGCCCACATAAAGTCCTGTACCTATTCAGAGCATCTTTATAATGGAAATGACGGAAACGCCTCTACACAGATGACTGGATAAACGCCATACGATGGTGTACTGCTCATTGATAAAAAGGAGTGAACAGTGCCACAACAGGGATGAATCTTCAAATGTGGAATAAAAAGCTTCACACAAAAGAATACGTATTGTGCGATTCCAAAATGAATCAGTAGCATCAAAAAGCAAATCAGTGGTTGCTTGGGGTTGGGAAGCAGAGAGAGGATTACCTGAAGTACTTCTGTATATTAATTCTGGGGTTGTTACATTAGTGTATAGATTGATTGGTATTGGTGAACCATATACTTTTTAGTGTATGTAAATTAGACCTTGATAAAGTTGATGTTTTAAAAGATGACTGTATAACATGAATTGAAATTATGATAAAACTAAAGCGATCAAAACAATATGGTATTGGTACAAAGAGAGACAAAGAGAGGGACAGAGCAATAAATTCGAGAAACTGACTTGTGTTTGAAATAGTTAAGAACTTAGAATGTGGGTTTACTTTGGTATTTCAAATCAGGTTGGGGGAGAAACAAATTATTCATAAATGATGTTGAGTCAACTGACTAACCATTCAAAGGATAAAATAAAATTAGAGCCTTATCTATTACCACTTACAAAAAATCACTTCCACATGGATTCGAGAGTTAAGTCTATTAAAAGAGAAAAGTGGGCTTAAATGGCCCAGCAGCCCATGGGTCCCAGGGCAGAGAGATGAGGGAGACCTGCCTGGGCCCCCGGGGGGTCTGCTGGGTCACGCTTTGCCTGGAATCCTGCACTGCGGAAGCCTGAGGTCCTGGAGACGTCCAGACCTTGTGGCTTCCCCATGGTGGGCTGGGGCTCTCCTGTCTTGAGCCCTCAGGCTAAAGTGTAACTCTGAAGTCCTCTTCTCCAGGCTGTCCTAGTGCTGAGGCTCAACTCTCCAATCTGTAAAATGGCCTAACAGTGATGCACTTTCTGACTTGAAAGTCTGTGGTGAGGACTGCATGTGGGAATCACCCAGTGGGTGGGACACTTGGGAGGTGACCTGGGAGAGAAGCCGGGGCTGCTGGCTCCACGGGAGAAAGCAGGCATTTGGCATAATCAGTCCTTCCACAGCCGTCTCACGTCGTGCTCACTGGTGACCAGGGAAGGACAACACAGGAGGGGCTGCTGGGATGGAGAGCAGAGATCCAGGTCTCGGCTGCATCCCCGGGGGGACTGGGGCCCCCAGGTAAGGAGACGTCCAGACGCCCTGGGCGGCAGTCCTTGGGACTCCTCCTCACCTCCTGCCAGAGGCCCTGGGGGACTCCACGAGTCTCGGGGCACAAGTCCCTGAGCAAGCTCACTGGCCCCATCGTGGAGAACTGATCTGATTACAGAAGATGTCCGCCTTCCCTTTGTCCCCCTGAGTCTCTGGGGGAGAGCTGGATTAAGCTGAACTAGGAGGCAGGTGATGATCCCAGCTGTTGGGCGCTTGGGCAGGAGTCTCCATGGTAACAGAGCCATCTGGCTTTCTTGCCTGGCACCAGGCCTTGTGACTTCACGATGGAATCTTCTCTGACAGGCAGAGGGGGATTTGCTAGGGGGAAGGAGAGGTCAGGAGGAAGGCACCTGCTGAGGAGGCTCTGTCTTTTCAGCCCGACTCTGAAGATGAGACTTGATCTTGTCATGACTTGGGGCTACTGCTGACTCTGGAACGGCCTCTGGAGGCGGTGTCCCAGGGACAGCGCAAGCAGCATTGTGCGCGTGCCATTTTGCCGAGCCCCTCTGGGGACCTGGAGGCACACCTGGCCTCCTTCAATCCAGGCCTGGATGGTGAAGTGGAGCCAGGACCCAGGCGGGAAAGGCTGCGGTTCAGGAGATCTGCTGGCCCCCGGCAGGGAGGTCCACGCTGGGCCAGCACTACCACATGGCAGGAAGGGTAAGGCCTAGGTGAGCCCAGCCCACAGAGGGGGCTGCCGTCATGGCGATGGGCCTCTCCCCACAAGCTGCTCGCCAGGTGGGGCTGGGAGAGTGCTGCCAGTCTCCATCCTTATGCCAGATCCCTTCATCCACGCAACCAGCCATCCAGCCAACCTGCGTGAACTAGTGTCCTAGGGCTGCCGAAGCAAGTCACCACAAACTGGGTGGCTTCACACAACGCAGATTTATTCTCTCACAGTTCTGAGGTCTAGGAGCGAAAATCAAGGTGTGGGCAGGGTTCCTTCTTCGGGGCTCAGAGGGAGAATCTGCTCCTTGCCTCTCTCCTGGCTTCTGATGGTTGCTGGCGATCCTTGGCATTTCTTGGCTTGTGGCAGCATCTCTTCAGTCTCTGCCTCCATTGTCATGTGACATTCTCCCTGTGTCTGTATCCAAATTTCCCTCATCTTATAAGGACACCAGTCATTGGATTAAGGGTCCACTCTAATCCAGGATGACCTCATCTTAACTGGGTTCCATCTGCAAAGAGCCTATTTCCAAATAAGGTCTCATTCACAGGTACCAGGGGTTAGGACCTCATTTCTTGTGGGGGACACGGTTCAACCCACGATGCCGTGTAAGTCACAGTGAGAAGACCACAGGCTTCAGAGCAGGGCAGACTCGGGCTCAAACCCCGGCACTGCTACTAGTCTGTCCTGTCTCTTTGGCACAACAAAGCTGGAAAGGCAAGTCTTTCCTCACAGGCCTCTTTAGGGTTCCTGGAGAGAGAGGACTGCCCAGCGCAGTGCCCATGGGGTGTCTGGGGAGTGGTAGAAACTCAGCAAAGGTGGCGTGAGCGAGACACGTGGAACTCAGAAGAGGGCCTGGTACCCACTCTCCAGGAAGTTGCAGTCAGCAGGACAGCAGGCATTTAGCAAGGGTTAAGACTTACGATGGGGACCGTGGGCTCAAGCTGCACACAGGAGTGTGTGCCACCACATGGCCTTTGGTGAGGGAGGGGCACTCAGGCCCAGAGTCCCCATCAAGGATCAAGAAGGCCTCGGCCAGACCACAGCAGGACCCTCCTATTGGGAGGGTCCTCCAATAGGGGCCCAGAGGCCACACATATACCCCATGGACCCCACCATGTACTCGTGGCCCTGACAGGCAAAGGTGGAGCATGGGCTGGCTTTTCACTGACAGGTGCTCTGGGTCCCTATGTTCCCTCAGGGCCTGGGAAGTAATTCCTCGTTCTCCACCCCACCCTCCCCACAAGAAATGGCTTCTCCCTGCTGTCGACATTGAGTCTGGCAAAGACTTTGCTCCTGGCCAAGCCCAGTTCAGTACTCTTTCTTTCTTCCTCTTTCCTTCCCTCCAACCTTCCTTTCATTTCTTCCAATATTTGGTATCTACTGTGTGCCAGGGCTCTTCTAGGCTCCAGGGATATGGAAGACAGATGGGCCTTGCCTTGGTGGACTTTATAAATTGTAGGATGAAAGGCATTAATCAAGTAATCATGCAGACGAATGTTTCACAGCAGAGGAATTGGTGCCTTGAATGAGAGGAATCAGGATGGTGGGAGTCAATGGTAGAGTGATGCAAGCAGACCAGGGGGGTACAGGAAGAGACCTTAAGCCAAGAGCTGGAGAAGTTGTCAACTAGGAAGAAGGAGAGGGGAGAGATTCCAAGCAGGAGCATTAGCAAGTGCAAAGGCCCCGTGGCAAGAGGATGCTTGGCAAGTAAGAAGCACCTAGAGAAGGTCTATGTGGCTGGACTGGACAGAGTGAAGGGCATATGAGATGCACTGAGAGTCAGCAGACTAGACTGATCATTTGTTGGAAAAGCATAGGCTGAGTGCCTACAATGAGCCAGGAACACCAGACAAAGACCACCGCACACACGGAGCAGGCAGACCAATGACTAAGAAAAATGCTTCAGTGCAGAAGTGAAGGGCGAAGTGATCCGGAGTCACGTGGGGGAGGCAGGGGCTGGGAAGGCTCCTCTGAGCTGAGAGTCTAAGAGAGTCTTTAGAGCACAGGCTCTAAAGCAGTACCTGCTTGGTGTTACTGACGAAGGGCAAGAAGGCTGGTGTGTCCCGCGGGGACCTTGCAGGTGAGGCTTGTGGGTAAGCCGACCCTGGATGGGAGCCACCCTGGGTTGTAACGAGGACAGCCGCATTTGGAAAACCCCTCTGGCCTCCAATGTAGGCAGGAGCTGGGGTGAGAGCTGGGGAGGCTGGGGGAGTTGGGTGCAGTGACAGATGGAACTCCCTTCTCTTCCCAGACGTCCCAGAAGAGCTGCGAGGCTGAGCCCAGAGTCTTGCCCTCTCAGAGCCTCCTGCAGGAGGACGACCCAGAGTCCCCATCCCGGCAACTGCAGGCCACCGGTTCAAGGGGCAGTGAGCCCCACAGCAACCTTGACCTCTCCCATGGGCCCCTGGTGACCTTGGAGTACCTGCCCTTCTTCCGCACCTACGGGCAGCTCCTGGCTGAGGAGGAGCTGTCCCCGCGGCCTGAGGTTTGCAGGGACCAAGGAGGAGACCAGAGTATCAGAGGGGAGGACTCAGAACTGCCCAGTGGCTTCTTCCCTCACTACCGCTCCAAGGAGGAGAGTTTTCCCAGCCTGGCGCTTCCTGGCAGGTGGTGTTCAGGCTCCCGTGACCCACCCACCAGGAGGGAGCTGCAGGCTTGAGCGGCAGGTGTTCTGTGAGTTGGGGAGGCCACAGAGGATGCAGCACTGCGGGCCCTGGCAGACCTCTGTCCCAGGGCCACACACCCCAGGAGGCTTGACCAGGCCCCCGGGGTCGGTTGGGGCTCCTGGAGCAGCGTGTTGTTAGATAAGGGCACAGAGCCTGGAGGCAGGCTGCCTCAATCCCAGCTCGGCCACTTGCTCCGAGAATGTGTTTTAAGCCTCATGACCCTCAGTTTCCTTATAAAAGACAGAAAGTAATAGTAGCCACTATTTGTTTAGTCCTTAGGCTCCCAGATAAATGATTCGTGTGTGTCATTTCATTTTTCCTAGTAATAGTCCTATGAGGTAGATCTTGTTATTATTCCCGTTTTATGGAATGAGCCTTGGAGAAGTTAAGCGACTTGGCCAAAGACACTGCTAGCAAGAGCAATCCTGGGATTTGACCCAAAGCCCATGCCCTCCAGAGTTCCTAAAGCCACTCTAGCCCCACAAAGCCGGCAACTTGCCCTGTGACTGCAGGATGGAGGAGGTGGGATGCGTGGGTTCTAATCCCAGCTGGGAGCCCTGGGAGGGCTGAGTGACATCACATCGCTGAGTGCTTCCCTTCTGTAGAAGGTACGGCCCTGGCTTCTTCCCCTACGCTACTGTGGAGTGGAGGCACAGGCCAATCCTGGGAGCCTGGCTGACCATCTTGTCTCCTGCTGACCCAGGCTGGCCCGGCAGGCCCAGACCTCATCTCTGGGCTCTCTCACTCACCGACTCGCTGCCCCACCCTGCTGGTCTCAATAGGGCACTCCCGTGACAGCGGCTTGGATGCGCCTGTCTCCAGCGACGTTGCTTTCGGGGGCCAGGCCCTGTGTGCTCCAGGATTCGTGCCTTACTACAGAAGCCCTGAGGAGTGTCTGCGCACGAGCCCTGGGCCTCCCGCCTGTCCGCTTTGGGGCCAGGAGTCCCCAGGGAAGCTGCCCGGGCCTGGTGCGGCCTCACTGCGCCGGAGCAGGCGCTGGGGCCGGCAGGGGCCACCGAAGAACGGCCCCCGGCCCCTGATGATTAGCTCACAGGCGGTGAAATGGCTGGCGGTGAGGTTCCCAGAGCTCAGTTCGCCCTGGACCTGGAGCTGGCCTGGGACTGCAGCCTTCAGGCCTTCACTTTCCCTCCCGGCGGGAGGACCCCAAGCCCCGGCAGGCTCCCCTGTTGGGCTGGAAAGAAGACCCTGCACCCTGCTAGCCAGTGGCTCTACCCTGGGGTGTGACTCAGCAGAGGGGAGAGCTCAGCCTGTACCCTATGTTCAGCCCCACCCCCAGGAAGTGACCCTCCCACCCCGGCTGCTTCCACTCATCTATCCTAGCTGGGAAACCTGCCCAGTGGAGAGCAGCTGCCCCAAAAGTGCCTCCACTAAGCAGAAGGGGCAGGGCTGGCTGGACACCTGGGAGGCGCAGAGACCAGAGACGAGTTTGTAAATAAATCATTTGACTACAAGGGTTGGCGTTGGTGCACTAATTTGATGCTGTGAAGTAATACCTGTGGCTTCCGTGTATTGAGCATTTACTATGGACTAGGCACCTCACAGAGACCATCTCCATAATCCTTAGGGGCATACACTTGTGTCATCGCCATTCTACAGTTGAAAAAACAGGCTCAGAGAGGTTAAGTAACATGCCCGAGCTCGCACAGCTCACCAACAGAGGAGCTGGGATTCACACCCAGGTCTGTCTGACCGGGGGTGGGGTGGGGGGGGGCTGAGTGCTTGAGCACTTCCCCACATGCCCCTCCTCCGTGAGTCTTTACACAGCAAGGACAGAGCCAGCTGCTGCCTGCCAGGCTCCCTTGGACCCACCCCCAGCTCTCCTTTCCTCACTGCCCCTCTGCCTTTCCTTCCCCAGCTTCCTCCTCTTTGGAGCAGCAGGCAGGACACAGCGACACAGCACATATCTGCTGAGGCCCTGCCTTCTTGGACTCTGTGGATGTGCTGTCTGGTGCCCCAACTCCAGGTTCCCTCCACGCACCACAGCAGAGGGCCCTGAGGCTGAAGCACATAGGATGAGGACACATGGGTGTGTCCGCCCACCCCACCCACTCCTGGGACTGAGCACACGGACGTCAGCTTCTGTTTGACACTGTCCTTGAGTGCCCAGTCATACACGTCATGTCCCACCTTCACAGCCAGTCTGTCCCGCGGCGCTGATTCCATGACCCACACGCCCCTGATGGCTGATTCCTGTTCCTGCACCAGGGGAATGCCTGCACCTCCTCCCCACTCTTCCTGAGGATGAGGAAGTTGAGGAGGAGGGGAAATAAACCAGTCGGTCACACTTCAGGTACGTGGAAGAATTTCTTCTAAAAAAATCCACTTTTTGATATTTCCTGTGAATTCCCTTTGGGCTGGGGGACTTGGGGTTGGGAGTATGATGGACGAAATCTAGGTGCCCTTGCTGGAAGACTCCTTGGCTTTGCTCTTGGAGTGGGGGAATTGGCCTGGTCCCTTGTGCGTTCCTCAGGGCCGAGTCTGGGCTGGGTCTGTGCTGGCTGGCATCCTTGAGCCCTCAGCGCCCTCAAACAGTTGGGAGGTGTCTGGGTGTGAGTTAGAAACCAGGGCGGGGTGCCACTCTTTCTTTGTGTTCTCCGAGCTGGGTCCCAGGTACGGCTCCCTCGGTCCGTGTGTGGGGCTTGTAGAGAGCACAGGTAGGGCTGGGAGCCCTGCAGCCAAGTGCCAGGGCTGAAGAGACCCTGGAGCTTTTCAAGACTGAGAGCTCTCTTGAGGGAGTGGTTTGCAGGAAGGATCTGGGGCAGAGAGATCCTGGGTAAGCGGATGGGCTTCTCTGCAAGAGCAATTTGCTTCTTATCCATCCAGCTGGCACTGGCCAGGAGCTGCTCTGTGCCGATGCAGACATGAGCACCCATGAGGACGCAGAGGCCGGAACAATGGTGAGTTAACTTTCGTTGAGTGTTTACTGTGCACCAACCACAGTGCTGAGCACTGTACATGATTTAACACACTGATTTTGACTTTGGTTAGGTACAGTTAGCAACCCCATTTTACAGAGGAGGATGTCCAGGCTCAGGGAGATTAAATGGCCAACCAAAGAATACAGAGATGGAAAGCTTTAGAGCTAGGATCTAAACACTATCTAGCTCTGGAGTCCATGCTCTTAACTATTATGCTTGTATTAGATGTCTATTTCCTTGTAATAAATTATCTCAAAACTTGGGGGCTTAACATAACAATAAACACAATTTCTCACAGCATTAAGGTTCAGGAATCTGGGAGCAGCTTGGCTGGGTGATTGTGGCTTGAGGTCGCTCGGGAAGCTGCAGTTAAGGTGTTGGACAGGGCTGCAGTCATCTGAAGGCTTGACTGGGCCTGGAGGATCTGCTTCCTCCCTCACATGGCTGGCAAACTGGTGCCGGTTCCTGGCAGGAGGCCTCAGCTCCTCACCTCGTGGGCCCCTCCACAAGGCTGCTTGAGCAGCCACGCAACATGGTAACTGGCTTCCCCAGAGCAAGTGATCCCAGAGACCAAGACAGAAGCTGTAATGCCTATTAACAACTGAGCCTCAGAAGTCACATATTTTTACCTCTGCCATAGTCTGTTGGCCACACAGGTGAGCTCTAATTCAGTATAGAAAGAGACCTCACAAGGGCATGAATGGTAAGAAGCACTGGGGACCATCCTGGAAGATGGGCTACCATATGCTCTAATATAAGGCATAGTGCCAAATGCTGGGGATTCGTGGGGAGAGAGGGCTCATTCACCAAAGCAGTCCCTGGAGTTGGGGTGCGGCATCAGAGGGAAGTGGCATTAACACTGTACTTGGGAGGGATGTGCTAAGATAACACATAACCCAGCATTATGCCTAGTTCATGGGAGATACTCAAGCATTCATTGTTGGATGAATGGATGAGGCATCAATAAGGGCAGAAAAGGGGACACATTCTGGTTTTATGGGGCCTAAACTTAGGGGAGGAGTGGAGGAAGGGGGATGGAAGCCTCCTTGGTCATTCTGAGGCACCTTCGGAGGCTGCATGCAAGAGGAAAAAGGTGGAGCTCCTCAGGAGAAGGTGGAGAGGGGGCTGGAAGAAGTGACAGGCAGGGGCAGAGCCGGAGCTCGGCTGCTTTGCTGGGAGACCCGGCTGCAGCAGAACCATGTAAGGCATGAGGCAGTGAGCAATTTCCCTTCTGCACGCCCCTCCCCAAGTGGTTTGGTACCTCATTTAAGGCTGGTTCCCCTCAGCCTTCTCCCTGGCTACAGATTTGTCACTTAGGAAATCTCTACTTTGGAGAAAATTGAATCCACATGGTTTTGAGATTTTGTTCTTTTAAGTTTTTTCTTTGTACTTGCATCAAAAATGAGATGTCCTTGGAGTCCTTTAAGTCACCCCTCTCTTAAAAACAGGAAGTTCCTCCTTGCCATGTTCACACTGACCCTGGAGCAGACAGCAGTGGTTTTGGGTGGGTTCCAAGCTGAGAGTTTTGTCACCCCGTCTCTTTCTTTGAGGTGTGGGGTCTTAAGTCTGGCCTTTCTTTTAATAGATGGAGAAACTGAGGTCGGGAAGGAAGAGTGCATCCAGAGACGCACAGCAAGTGGGGAGACCTGTGCCATCTCTGCGGACGGAACACGTTGCTGGTTCTCGTGCCCACGCCCCACCCCCACCCAGAGGCTGACGAGTGTGTGCTGTGCGTGTGCTGGGTGAGGGGAGCGAAGGGACACCACAGCCCTTCTGAGAGGCTGGACCAGCACAGGCCTCAGCCTCCCCAGGCAAGCCCGCCAGGTTCCCACAGAAAGCAAGGCTGGTGTGCAAGGAGCCCAGGCCCACCTCAGGGTGGGCCAGGGAGGTGTGTCCAGGTGAGATGCAGCTAGCCCCCAGATGGGTCCTCCGTCCACTCACAGGGGCAGCAGGAGGACTGCGGACCGCCGATAGACAGCAGATGCCACCGCCCACAGAGTCACCTGGCCAGCCAGGGCCCTGGAGCTCAGACTCCAAGCCTTCAGCCTCCTCTCCCACAGCAGGCGAGCTCTTTGGCTCCCGTGCTCTCTCCTGCCTGGGGTCACTCAGCTCTGCCCTCTACCTGTGATGTGATGGATGCCCTCTCTACTGCCTCCGCAGGCCAAAATCCAGATCGTCTTTTTAGGACCAGCTCCTTCCTGAGACTTCAGAGTCTGGCTCCTTTTCTTTTCATCTCAGGCATGAGATGAGGTTTCCTGGTCTTCCTCAGAGTTCTGCCCCTGAAGTTTGAGCCGGCTGGTGGAGGAGACTCGCCGCACAGTGGCAGAGATGGGGCCGCCATTCCCAACACAGACTCCTCTCTCACCAACCGAGTCACCAGCTCTCTGCACCCCAGGCAGTTCAGCACACAGCACTGCTCAGCAGGGGCCGCTGGATGTGACCTCAAGAGCTGCAGTGGAGTCCCCCCGCCATCGCCCACCCCACACCCCTCTTCTCCTGAGGAAATCCCTCAATCCCAGATTTCCTGGTCCCCGACTTGCGCGGCCTCCGCTTGTCCTCAGCACAAGCCCGCTTATGCCCATCAGCTGAGAAGGAAAGGGCAGGCTTGCCTTGTTCTCAGATGTGCACAGAGCCATCTCAGCCCACAGGACCCTGGCAGGGAGGCAAGGACTGAGGGCAGCCCGGGGCGCTCCCCTTGATTCCTGAGACATCTGCTCCAGCAAACCTAAGAATGTGAGCGTAGTTGGCAAAGGTTAATACCATCTCCCTGATGGTGGAGAAGCTGAGTCAGAGAAGTTAGGACATTTATGCACAGGGGCCAGGGCAGGGAGGGGGCAGGGCTTTGGGGAAAGTCACCTCCACTTTCTGAGGCTTGACCAGGAGGCAGCACCTCGGTTATGAGCTGGGTCCTGGAGTCAAACAAAAGGTGTGAAGCCTTAATCCTCCACTCACGGAGGTTTTGTGTGGGTTTGGAGAAATTGCTTAACTAATCTGAACTTCATTCTTCTCACCTGCAAAGTAGGGAATTGCCTCACAGAATTTGATGAGCTAGTGTAGGAGGAACATATAGCACTGGCCCAGCTTGGAGCCCTGAGGTGGAAAAGAACCTGGTAAATCTGAGGCCTGGATGAGTCAAGGCAGGTGAAGAGATGGAGGTGTCACCTCTTCTTACTGGGGGCTCTCCCTCCAAGTACAGAGTCAGCTCCCAGGAAGCCTCAGATGGGTCCACATCAAGCCCCTCAGAGGTCCGCTCTGGCACCCTCAGACTCCTCCTGAGCCTCCCGTGTCAGTGCATCTTCCGTTGCCCAAGTGTATACTGGCTCTGACTCTGCCAGCCCAGTGCCAGGGAAACTGGGCCAGGAACCTCTCCCCCTGCTGCAGCCAAGCCTGTCCTTTCCTCCTGGGAGTTCCAAGTGCTGTGCAGCAGCGCCCTCTGCTGACAGATCTTAAGAAGACACCCACAGCCGGCATCTCCATGGCCCAGAACTTTAGACTTCTCTGGACACTGAGGAGGCCCGTCTCTACTCTACAAAAAGCAGAGGGGAAATTGAGCCCTGGACTTGCCCAAGGTGCCCAGTGAGCAGCAGCACCAGAAGCAGAGCCCAGGCAGCCCAGCCTCCCAGCCTCCCAGCAGCTGTTTTGCCCCCTCATTTCACAGCCACTCGCCTCTGTTACTTGACTTGGAGCATCAAATTGAAGGGGCACTGGACCAAATACAGAACATGCTCTGAACAGACTCTCTCAAAGAACTGTCAGTAAAAGAACGAATCCTGCGCCAAATGAGAAACTCCAGTGGCACCTTCAAAATCACTCATCAGAGTCAGGGAAGGGACCCCAGAGCTCCCATTGTCTGAGGTCGGCACAGGAGTGGTGCAGCAGGTACAAACAAGCAAAGAAGAAAGACAAAGCATGCATGTGTCCCACTTCATTCATTCATTCGCACTCAATCATTAGTCATTACCGTTCACCTGCTCTGCAGCAGGGGCTTAGAATGCAGCGACAGTGGACAAGGCGGACAGCTCCTACCCTCCTGGGCCTCCCAGGCATTGCACAAAGACTGGCCAACACGGCGAGGGCTGGAAGGAGAAGCAGGGAGCCTCGAGAGGGGCAATGGGAGAGCCCTCTCTGCAGGGGCTGTTTCAGCTTAGTCCTGAGGGAGGTAGAGCTGGCCTTGAGGATGGCAAGAGGAGGGAGCTGCAAGCAGAGGGAGCGATTAGTGCAAAGGCCCTGAGCTGGAAAAGCATCTGGAACTTTTGAGGGCCTGCAAGGAGCCGGGCTTCTGTGACACGCCAAGAAAGACCCTGGTCTCTTCTGCTCTGCCTTGTATCAAGACTCCCTCTTTGACTGCCAGCAGTCAGCAGGCCCTTCAGACTTGGTCTCCATGGCCTTCCTTTTTAAGGCCCGCTGAGCAGTGATGTCCACCAGGCCTCTGCCAGGCTCTGCAGGTCCAGAGGAGAATAAGGCAGTGCCCTCTTCTCGGCGTGTCCACAGTCCTGACGGGAAGGCAGACTATAATCCATAGAGCGTGACGGCAGTGCTATGCATATGCCTGGAATGTTCTGGAAATACAGTTGAAAGATAGCAGATCCAGCATGGAGTGGGCCGTCAGTGCTTCAAGGAAGGGCTATCAGGAGAAGCTGAGCTGAGTTTCAAAGGAGTAAGGTGTGAGGGTTAGCTAGAGAAGAAGTGGGGAAAAGGGCGTTCCCAGCAAGGGAACATGTGGGCGGGCACACATGTGAAAAGCGTGTGGGGCGTGCAGCACATACTTCTCAGCTGGGGCTTTGGCCTGAGGGGAGGGCTGGGGTGGTAGGAGGTGAGAAGTGGAAAGGCAGCCGGACCCAGGCCCACAGACCCTCACATGCCAAGCTAAGGAAGTGGAACTAGACTCAAGGCCGTGGGGAGTCATTGGAGGTCTGTCAGCCGGAGAGCAGGAACAGATTCAAGGTCTCAGAAGCTCACTGTGGCAGCTGCTGGAGCGACAGAGGATTGGGGCAGAGGGACCCAGGGGCTTCTGTCCACCATGATCCAGACAGGCAGAGGCACAGGGCTGGGCTGAGCCACATTGGGAGACGTCAGAGAGGGATGGATGTCGGGGCCAGGGAGGAGATGGACCCTGGACTTCACAGCTGACGGAATGAGGCCTTGGGGGAGAGCGCAGAATTGAGGGTGATGCCCAGCGTCTGGTTTGGGTGGCCAGCTGGGTGGGGCACTGGAGGGATAGAGAGTTAGTTAAACAAAGAGTCCATAAAAGGATGTGCTGAGTTAGAGATGACATGGGGCCATCTACTCTTCAAGTAGAGGAGTTGAGGAGAGGAGAGACAGGTAGGAGATGAGGTGTCGAGGTTGTGATCTGAGAGGTGATGGGTATGGCTGGGAGAGGGTCCAGGTGAGGGCCCTGAGAGTCCCCAAACAGAACGAGGGGCAGGAAGTGAGTACTGCGGACAGAGAGAAGGAGGGAGAGCGCAGTAGTCAGGGAGAAAGGCCGCCCCACCGGGTGAGGGCAAGCTTCCAGAAGACAGAGGAGAGCAGGGAGCAGGGCCGGGTCTCTGCCACGGGGTATCAGGTGGGAGCACCTGGCCCAGGTGTAGCAGGTGGGGGACCTGGGCTTGGCCAAGGAGGTGGAGCCATGGGGCTGGAGAGACTCAGGGTGCAGCCAGGAGGCTGCAGGCTGGGAGCCGGGGGCGGGGGGGAGGGGGGGGCCTTCCCTGACTGCTGACTGACACTTGACTCCCCTCAGTGCTCTCACAGCCACCCCCATGTAGCATCTCAGGCAAATGGTCCCCTCTCTGCCAGAGCCCTTCCCAAGAGCAGAGACTGACACAGACTAGGTGCTTGGGAAACTGTTTACCTGAAAGGGCAAATGAGGAATGGGAAATGCACCACTCGTTATCAGACTGTCAGCACCGCCCACCTGCCGATCCCCACTGTGGTGGAAGATGCTCTGGGGGTTATCTTTGGGGAAGGAGCTGAAGAAGAAAGGAAATTGGGTTTCTTTCTGACCCTAGCAACCGAGGGAGTTGATCTCTCTGTGCCTCAGTTGCTTTACCTGCTCTCTCCCAAGGGCGGAATACAAGTGTGCATGGCAGCACTACAAATGCTGCTCCAAAGCAGGGAAGCCAGGAACAAGTAGCAGCTCAGAGCCCTCCCCAGAGACAGCGTTCTGCTGGGTCTAGGATTCTCTGGCCAGGCCGTTGGCTGCCACGAGACCAGACCTGGGCCCTCCCCCTACCTCCCTTGTAGGTGTGCCTGCTGGGCAGATCTGTGGCCCACATTTGGGAATGGAGCGCAGAGGTGCCTTCTGGAAAGGAGCCCACACCCTCCGCTCTGCTGCAGCTCATTAGCAGTTCAAGCAGCCGCTTTCTGGGCCCGGGAGGCTGTCCCAGGGCTCCGGAGCCTCTGCCTGCCAACTCAAGGCTTTCTTACTTGGTGCCAACACAGGACTGAGGGGACGACAATCCGCCTGGCACCCTCTAGGTGGTCCTCCAAAAGAGCAGGCAGGCCTTGGTGAACTGGCAGGCTCTCCACCTGTGGACTGGCTTCAAGGTGAGTTCACACAGTGACCACTCTTTGGAGACCTTTCGTTTCTCATAACTGTCCTGGCACACGTCCCAAGCATGGCAGGGCAGAGCATGGTGAGGGGGGAGAGGTGCTACTGGTAGCCCCACTCCTCTCAGCCCTTTTCAGGTCAAGCCTCAGTGGCAAACTTTGTCTTGCTTTGGAAGAAGGAGCCCTGGGCAGCTTCCACACCATGATGGTCTTGATGATGTGACATAAATGTGCCAGTGGGAGAGGCCCAGCAGAGGCCCCTTCCTTCAGACATTAACCCTCACCATTTTTTGCAATCCCAGGTGCTACGACTGGGTCCCTGCTGGAAACTAGCAGGACACTGAGGTACACCAGTCCTCCTCCTTCTTGGAGGGAGGCCAGGGAGCTCTCACTGGACCAAAAGCACCTCCACGTAGCCAGGTCACATTTCCCAGCAAGCATGGGCCTCCAGCTGGGACCTGGCTGGGTGCAGGGCTGCCTACAGAGAGGAAGTCTGAGAGAGATGTGACCACCCCCTCTGCCTTCCTTCCGGGCTGGCTCAGGCTGAGCCTGGGCCTGGAGGGAGCTGGGCCCCTGCAGAGTCAGACCCTGGCCTTCCAGGTCTTGCTTGCTCTGGGGCCAGGGCCTAGGATGTGGCTGGAATGTCAATAAGCATCACTGCCTGGGGGTGAGACAGGGAAGAGAGAGCCCGTGGCTGATGGGGGTCAGCACAGGCTCAGGGAGACATGGGCACACCGTGAAGCACCATTTCAGGACAAGGGGCGGGATAGGAAAGTGGAGGGTGGGGTGAGAAGTGTGTGGAGAGAGGTCCAGAGCAAGGCTGTCTCTAGAATTTCTCCAGCAGCTCACAGCTGGGGGGCATGAGACCCCCTGACTGGTTAGGCTTTCATGAAACCTCCCTGAGTCTCCTACGAGCCGCCTCGTCTCTATTTTACAGGTGTACACAGTTAGGGTTCTACCAGAGAAACAGAAGCAGAGGGAGATTCTATGTTACATAATTGTAGGGTCCGGCTGGGCAAGTGTGACATCTGGAGGGCAGGCTGGCCGGCTGGAAATGCTCATCCCACAGGTGGCATTTCTTTCTCAGGGAAACGTCCATTTTGCTCTAAAGGCTTTCGGCTGACTGGACGAAGCTGACCCAGATTATCAAGGATGAGCTCCCAGACTTAAAATCAGTTGGTCGTCACCTCCACAGAATCCCTTCCCGGCAACACCTGGATGAGCGTTTGATCAAATCACTGGGTAGTGTCACGCAGCCAAGTTGACACATAAAAGTGACCATCGCAGGGATGACCCCCAGTGCCTGCTCACAGCTGCTGTGAGGGGGAGTGAGGAAGTAAGACTTTGCACAAGACTGTGGCTTGAAAACATCCTCAGGGCAAGGCAGCTCTGGCTCCCTGTGCTTGTCTGGGGCGTGCGGGGAGTGCGTTTGCAGGCTGGTCAGAAGTGTTTGAGCCGAGGAGGCTGAGCTGGGTTTGGGTCTGCTTGTCCGCAGGGGGTGGGGACTGGCTCAGAGAGCCCTGGAGGCTTTGTGGGTGGGGCATCAGCGGCTTCGGGGAGCTTCAAGGCAGGCACTTCCAGGGGCACAGTGAGCTGCCTGGCCACCCAGACCTCACGCCCAGGCAGCTCTCAGAGGAAATTTCCAGGCTAGCCCCATCCCTCCTGAAAGCCTGGCCAGGGGCAGGCTGAGAGTTTTCAGGGCTCTGGAAATTCCCACCTGGCCCGGGGTGCTCTCAGCAGGGGGCTGTGTGCCCTCAGCCGGGGGTGCTGCAGGACCTTCAAGTCTGGGTGGGGTCTCCCCTGGGCTCTCCACCGTGGCAGCCGGATCTCCTAGGAAAAAGCTCAAATCTGTCCTCACACAGCTAAACCTATAACTCAGGTGCGACAACTTTCGTCTCCTAATCTGGACCAGTTTTCTAAATGATTAAAATCTATGTGTCATACAATCATTTCCCTAGGAATGAGGATAATAATAACACCCATCTCACAGGGCTGCTGTGAGGGGTAAGCCCAGGTACAGTGAAGGGGGCCCGATGTCAGTGCCCAGGAAATGTTGAACATTATTAAGAGCGAGTACTTACTTAGCGCTGATTTGGAGCCTGCCCCTGGGCTAGGTGCTTTCCACACATTATTTCAGTAATTCAGGAATAGATAGGGTTTTGAAACCTGGGGGCTAGAGAAAGGTGTGGAGTACAGGCGAGAGAAGAGCCCCTGACCACTAAAGTTGTTATGGAAGATTGTGTGTCCTTTGTATTTTATAGAGAAACTGTCCATGGCTTTCAATCAGCTCAAAGAATTGAGAACTTCTGGTTTAGTTGATAGTTGGACATTCAATTATAATTATTTCAGCTCTGTTTTCGCTAAAAAGAGGATGTGTCCACCCAGCTAAATAATCCTATCACAGAGAGACCTTGGTGTTTGTAATCAAATACGTCTGGACCTCGGATAAAGCCTTCCTCTGTACCTCTTGTCATGAACTTTGAGAAATGTCCCTAAATCATTTCCAGTGTCTCGGAGGAGATGTGAAGAACTACCATAACTACCGGTGGACACTCCCTCGCCCGGCCCGCGCGCTGCGCCTTTAAGGTCTACTGGGGGCGTGATGTCAGCTGCCCGCGGGCACTTGGAGCGCGAGCCCGGCGGCCCGCGCGCTTCGGCGATTCCGAGCCATTCCGAACCCGTTGTGGAGAAGGACCTGCCTGCCGGTAGCTCCGCGTCCCTGACTTCGCCCGTCCGGCGCGCTCGCCCGTGGGCCATGACCAGCAGACCCTGAACGGGCACCGAGCCGGCTCCGGGAACGCGAGGCTCCGCGGCCCCGGCCATGGGCAACTTCCAGCTGGAAGACTTTGTGGCGGGCTGGATCGGAGGTGAGCGCATCCCCGGATGGGAGGGACCCCCAGAGGTGAGTGCGCTGACGGGACAGCCCGGCCCGAGAGGAAAAGAGCGAGTCAGCCGGGAGTTGCGCAGGCGGAGTTTCCACGCCGTGCCGGGTCAGGGAGCTCCGCGCCCGGGCGCTGCCCACACGCGCCCTGGGTGCTCGCTGCCCGCCGCCCGGCTGGTCTTGCCGCTCCTCGCCTGCTGCCGCGACCCCGGGGGAGATTCATCCCGAGCCTGCGATTTGCCTCAGAGTTTGGGTCCGCGGAACTTGATCCTGTAATGATTAAACCAGTGGTCAAAGCGGACAGCCAATGGAACGTCCCGGCGCGTACACACCCTTCGGCGCCCTGGTGCGCACCTGAGTCTGGGGACTCTGGGCTCACAGGAACTCGTGTGTGAGGGTGGCGTTTGACCGCCGCCCGCCCCCGCGCGCGGGATGCGGAGCCCGGCCTGGCGGTCAGGCCGGCCCTTGTGGCGTCCGGCTGCGGGGAGCGGAGCGCAGAGCTGGGAGCCCAGCACCGGCTGCAGGTGTCCGCTGCCAGATAGGAGGAACCCTTCACGTTTTCAGCCACAGCCAACTGTCATGCCTCTCCTCGGGCACTGTTGGGTCCGCCGGTCCCTTCCTACCACTCCTGGAGACGCTCTCTGCTGAGCCTGGGGTTTGCTTGGGCAATAGTCGTATCCATTGCCTTGCTTCTCCATTCTTCTCTTTCCAATAGGTCTATCCCTCCTCTTTGCTCAGCTATTGGGGGGGGCGGGGCTGAGGGACTTTGCTTATTGTCAGATATAGCCTTTCTTTTGGTTCCATCTAAGAGGACCATCAGAAAAGAGCTGTTGGCGAATGCAGTCCCTCCCCAATGTAAAATCCTGAGACGCTCAGGTAGAGGCTATGGCTAGCGTGTTTGTGCCCCACTAAGTGTTCTAGGTATGGAGACCAGGAGATTTGTAGGAAAGAAAAAAAAAAACGAAAACAGCAACTAACCAGCTAGGATCCCGGGTGGTTCCCCTTCTGGTGGCACCCTCCCATCTCCTAGCAGGAGTCCATGTCTGTCCCCCACAGGTGACAGGTGGCTGCAGGGCCCCTGCTTCTCACCCTCCCAAGCAAAGGTGATTCCTCTCCCTGGGGGCAGTTCCGTTGCACAGGCTCCCTTGGGTAGGGCTGAGACCTGCCTCTCCTAACTTTGCCAGTCAGGGGACTGTGCCCAGGGACCTACCAGGCACATCCAGACCCTCTTCGGACAACCTTTCAGCTGTTCGGAGGGAGAGGCTTTCCTCGGCTGCCCTTTAAATAGTCAGACCAACTTCAGTAGGGCTTGCCAGGGGCTTGGTTTGAGAAATGTCCTGGAGGGTAAGACTGTCAGAGTAGCTCAAAATCTCTGATGACACAGAGACCCTCCCCAACTCACACAGCAAGTAGTGGGTTGTCCTTTATTCTGAGATTGCCCTTACTTTGTTGATGTCAACATGGTTTTGTATGTTTTTGTTTTCGCTTCCATGAAATGAACATGAATGTAGTAGCCGTGAATACTTCCTAAGTGTCAGGTGCTGTTTAAATGCTACATGGATACTTTTAAAGCAACTTTATTGAGGTTATTTTACATATCATAAAATCCACTCATTTCAAGTGTACAATTTCGGGATTTTTAGTAATTTCACCAAGTGGTGCAACCATTACCATAAACTAGTTTTAGAACATTTCATCCCCCAGTAAGATCCCTCATGCCCATTTACAATTAAACTCCATCCCCTCCCTCTGTCTCTGGGCAACCACTTTCAGGCTCTATAAATTAGTGTTTTCTGGACACTTTATATAAACGGAATCATACAATATGTGGTCTCATGTCTACGTATATTCCTTTATAGCTCTAATGAGGTAGCTGCTATCATCACATCCCCATTTGACAGATGAGGAAATGGATACTCAGAGAAATTCAATGACCCTCCCCAAACCATACATCTAGGATGAGCACGAGGATTCCAACCCAGACAGTCTGGTACCAGGGCCATTTTAAGCCCTGTACTCATCGATAGCTGCTTTCTCTCTCAGTGACCTGTCATGATAAACTTTCACCATTACATCCTTCACATTTTGGAAACCACTGACCTGATAATTCTGTTTCTTATCTTGTATCCCTGCTTTCAGATGGGTGGACTAATGAGTGTGCAGGGAGATAATGGCCCAAGGCTGGGTCTGGGGCTGCTGCCCTGGGCTGAGGGATACAGCCGGAGCCCGAGGACCAGAGCTCCTTCCTTCCCCTGAAGGGAGGGGTTCCTGTAGAGTGAATGGCCCGGCGTTCCGCTGCCCACCATCTTTCTGCCTCTGCCCCGTTCTGTGGGAAGGAGGGGTTGAGAGGGGCCTGGAGGTTCTAGACCAAGGGAACATTGGTTCTGGAATAGCTGGTCTCTCTGCCCTGTAGATATCTAATATTCCAGGACCCCTGATCTGCCCTACCTGGTGCAGTCGCTCCTGCTAGCAGACACTTCTTCCTCATCAGCAGACGGGGACTTGGTCTCAGAAGGATGTGGCTCCTGTTTCAATCTCACAATCATTGCCTCCTGCGGTATGGCCTCAGGGCGGTCTTGCTTGCCTCCAGGATCGTTCTGGCCTTGTGAATGTGTGTGTGGATGGGCATTTTTCATTGAAAAGATCCAGAGTATCCATCACCTTTTCAAAGAGGTCTTCTTAAAAAAAAAAAATCAATAGGGATGGCAGCCCCTTTTGAGCATCCTGTAAGTGCCAAGCTCTGCTGGTCCTTTACATTTTTTACTTCAGTTCCTTCTTAAAATGGAACCGTGGGGTAGGTGCTAATGTTATTCCCACTACACATGCTAAAAGGGAGGCGTAGAAAAGCTAAATAACCTGCAGGTACCTGAAAAGTTTCTGGGTTTTCTCTTCATACCCTCCCTCTTTTTTTTGAGGTGAAACTCACATAACATAAAATTAATCATTTGAAAGTATACAATTCAGTGACATTTAGTACATTCACGGTGTTGTGCAACCATCTATCTAGTTCCAAAACATTTTTCTCATGCCCAAGGAAGTTTCTGGACCCATTAAGCAGGTACCCCCATTTCCCCTCCTCCAAACCCTTGCGATCACTAATCTGCTCTCTGTCTCTATGGATTTACCTGTTCTGGATAATTCATATACATGGCATCATACAGGATGTGACCTTTTTTGTCTGGCCTCTTTCACTTTGCATAATGTTTTCCATGTTCATCCACACTGCAGCACGTATCAGTACTTCATTCCTATTTATGTCTAGTAATATTCCATTGTATGGATGCACCACATTTTATTTAGCCATTCATCCAGCAGTGGACATTGGGCTGTTTTTACCTTTTGGCTTTTTTGCATAGTGCTGCTATAAACATGTGTGAATATGTACTTGTTTGAGTGCCTGTTTTCAGTTCTTTTAGGTATATTTCTAACAGTGGAATCCCTGGGTTATAGGGTAATCCTATGTTTAACTTTGTAATAAGCCAAACTGTTTTCTACGGCAGCTGGACCATTTTACATTTCCACCAGCAATATATATGAGTTCCAATTTCTCTATATCATCATGAATACTTGTTATTTTCCTTTTCTTTTTTTTTTATTATAGCCATCCTAGTGGGTGTGAAGCAGAATCTCACTGTGCTTTTGACTTGCATTTCCCTAATGACCAATGATGTTGAGCATCTTTTCATCTACTTGGCTGTTTGTATATCTTCTTTGGAAAAATGTCTATTCAAGTCCTTTGCCCTTAAAAAAGTGTTTTTTTTCTTTTTAGTTGTTAGAGTTCTTTACATATTCTGTATATTTGACCCTTATCAAATGTTCGATTTGCAAATATTCCCCCCCCCTTCTGTAGGTTTCTTTACCTTCCTGAGAGTGTTCTTTTATACACAAACGTTTTTAATTGTTATGACATCCAATTTATCCAATTTTTCTTATGTTGCCTGTACTTTTGTTGTCATATGTAAGAATCTGTTGCAAATCTCCATTCGTGGAGATTTCCCCCTATATTTTAGCGTATGATTTCTATAGTTGCAGTGCTTCCATTCAGGTCTTTGGTTTCTTTTAACTTTTGTATATAGTATGAGGTAGAGGTCTGTTTATTCTTTTGCATGTGGGTACCCAGTTATCCCGGCACCTTTACCTCCCTTTTTTTAGGGTACTTGTTTCTTGAGGCAGGGCCCAGGTTTTACTCCATTTTCTTGCCTTCCTCCATGCGTGAGCCTGTGCCTAACACACTGGGTGGGGGTTGTCCCCTCTGGTGACTGGGCATTGACTGAATAAGTGAATGTAAGTGTCTGAGTCCTCTGTTCTGTCCTAAGAACCAGCCAGTACAAGCGAGGAGTCCAGGGACTGAGTAACCAGGACGTCCTCTTTGATCCACAGGTGCAGCGAGTGTCATCGTCGGCCACCCTCTGGACACAGTCAAGGTACGGTAGCCACGTTGCCATTACCTTTTGGAAAGGGGCCTGGAGTGAGTCTGACTCCGGGAATGTGCCTGCTGTTTCTGACCCCCAGAAAGCCACCAGCGCAGGGCAGGCTCTCTGTGCCAGTCCACGGGGGTGGAGCGCTAGGAGGCCCAGTTGGAATGCTCCCCCGTCCTTGCTGGGCAGTGATTTTGTTTTTGTGAAGCTCCATTTCTGCCTCCAGGCTCTCATGAGCTGCAGGGGAGGGATGGGGCACTGTGAGTGCTCTCCTGCAAGCCTCCATGGAGCGAAGGAACCAGAATCTGGGCCCATAATCTAAGGTTGGGCCATTGGAAAAGATACTCCAGGCACAGAGAACGGCACAGGCAAAGACAGTGAGGTGGGGACACCGCCCGGGGGGGCCATGCTTCGGAAGGGCCAACATGGCCACTTCTGCTGACGCATCAGGTTTCTGAAAGCAGCTACGGATCAGAATCCAGGACCAGTAGGTCGGCACTCAATCCTTGGAGGCCTTGACCTTCAGGTTAGGACTCTAGACTTAGGTTGGGAATGGGAAGCCGTTATAACTTGACGGAGCCAGCAAAGCCACCTGGCATTGGGGTCATCCACGCTTCTTGTTCTACACGTGTGGAAAACTGGCCCAGAAAGGGGAAGGGTGTCACCTCAGGTCATACAACAAATCGAAGCATTGAGGAGCGAGATGTTACAAAGGGACATTCTTTGGGTCCACCCCTACCCCTGCCACCTGTCCCCATGGTGACCAGCACTAACAGCTGAACCCTGAGAAAGTGGCCACAAATAGCGCCTCCTCACCCTGACTTCCACATTTGTATCTAACGCTGTGCCAGGATCGTGCACAACGAGGACCTGCCAGGCCCTTCTCCAGTGGTCACTGTGGTCCCCTTTCTCCCCATCTTCCTCCCTGCGTGGCCGTGGGCCCCTCCTCAGTCAGAGCCCAGGCCTGCTCTCTTCTTGATGGGGAGGTCATCCTATGTGTCTAAATAGTTAAAGGTACTTCCTGGCCCCTCACACAGGCCCAGCCTTTTGCTCATACATCAAATGCATCTTGGATGCTTTCTCTGTGCAGGCACTGTGGGGCTGGCAGGGCAGCAGTGGTGGACAAAGCCAGTCTAGTCCTTGCCCCAGCAGGCCTAACAGCCACATTTCTGACCCAGGCAACCAGTGTCTCTCCCTGGTAGAGCATCCTTCCCTCACCTGCAGCTTGGTTAGGGGAGGGTAGAGCTCGTTGGAACCCCCATCCTCATCCCCTGCCCCTGGCACAGGCAAGCCTGGCCACATGTCACCTGTAAAGACCAGGACTCTCCTTCTTTTCTCCACTCTGCCCCCTGAGCCTCTGCAGGGAACCTTTCCTGATACATAAAACCTTGTCTCTGTTCAGCCTGAGAACCTCTCTGCTGAGGGTCTCAGCCTAAAGATGCTGGCTTACATGGCTGGCCTTTGGGTCCAGCCCAGGGCTGTGGCCTGGGGCCCTTGTTTCTCTCCAGAACATCCTCCTTCATTCTGGCTGGCATTTTCTCTAGAGTTCCTGTTCACTGAGAAAGGTCTGGGCAAGAGCCTCAGAGTCAGAATAACCTGGAGTCCAGCTCCAGCCTCCCACATACTCTCCTGTGCCTAGGGCACAGCACTTAACCTCCCCAAGCCTCGGTTTCCTTGTCTGTAAAATGGGCAAAGAGCACCTCCCCGGTGGGGCTGTCATGAGGATTGTCAAGTGCAGTGAGGATAGAGCAGTGAGCGATCCCCTCCTGTCCTGAAGAATACACACATTGGAGTGTGGGGAGGCAGATGAGTGACTTGTTCCTGGTTCCCAGGCTCGCCCCTGGGAGAGCCAAGCTAGAAGAATCTGGGCTGCTGACCTGGGTCAAAGACTCATTCCCTGCCCGCAGCTGCCTCACCACAGGTGGGAGAGCCAGCACTGGCTACTTGGTGGCAGTAGAGCTGGGGTCAGGATTCACTGCTGGCTCCTGGCAGAGCTGGTGCATTTAAAGTTTATGTCTGATGCAATGTGACCAGGGTTTTCTACTCAGGGCTCAGCTCTCTATAGCCCAGCTAGAGCACTGTAAGAGAATAAATTTGCATTGTTTTAAGCCACTGAATTTATCATAATTTGTTACAGCAGCAATCGGAAACATATACAGGGAATCAGCTTTCTTCATCTGTGAAGTGGGGATAGTATCCATGCCTCAGAGCATTTGTGGGATTCTGTGAGAAAAGTTCCATAAGATTTCCAGTGTTTTCCCAAGTATGCAGTTGGTGCATGATAAATGCTAGCTCCTGTTGCAATTGGAGTCCTTAGAGGCTTGAGCTGTGCTGCTGGCCTCGGTGGCAGCTTCCTCAAGAGCTGACAGACTTTTGCTCTGGTCTAGACCCAGAGTGAGGTGTGCCCTGGGCTCTTCTGTGGCTTTTCTCAGACCCTCTGCCTGTCTACGGATGCCCCCAGTCACCAGAGCCAGCCTCCATTAGAGGATGCCACAGTTTCACCTTCCGGCCCCTCGGGTAGCCAGTGCAAAGGGCCGAGTGCCACAGCCACGCTCGGCTCCGGGGACGAGAGGGAAATACAAGACGGCCCTGCCCCAGAGGGGGAGCCCAAATAAACCCTAAGTAAACAGACAAACAGATCACATCATTGCAGCATGTAAGCTCAGACCCAAGAGATGAGCAGAAGCTGGAGAAAGAGCCTTCCAGGGGAGGAAAGCAGGTGGAACGTTCTGGAAGTGAGAAGCAACGGATGCTCCAGGATCCAGGAACATGCCGTGTGGCAGGCCCAACGGGTGCGGAGGAAATGACATGCAGGTGGTGAAAGCCACGCTTCTGGGTGCTGGTTAAGGGTGGAATTTCTTCTGAGTTTGGTGGGAGGCCACTGGAGAGCTTGAAACAGCAGTGACAAACATTCATCGTTGTTTGGAAAAGATTAGTCTGACTGTTGTGTAGACACAGGCAGAGGAGTTGGGGTGGGGGAAGCAGGAGGCCAGCGAGGGGCCCAGCCCATCATCAGGGTGAGAGATGCAGGGGTTCTGGAGATGGGAAGAGCAGGTTGCTCCTGGCAGTGTTCAGGAGGGCAGACTGACGGACAGCAGGTGGGCCAGAGCCACGGGTTAGCTTTTTGTACTCAGGATGCAGCAGCATCGTATGTCCCCACACAAGCATTGTTCTTGCACACCACACTGGCCTTTGTTCTTCTCTCAGACCAAGGGGACTCCTGCTGCATTTAGCAAGGTGGGAACGGGACTTGGTGCAGGTAGAGGATGCAAGGCCAGCCAGGCCAGGACTGAAGTCCAGGCCTCCTTCCTGGAGGTCAATGGGGCAGGGGCTTCCCGTCTCTGGGCTTCAGTGCTGGGAGCCCAGAGCCGTGAGGGAGGTGGGGATGTAACCTGTCTCCGGCTGGCCCTCACGCCCTTGCCTTTCTCCGCAGGCTCGCCTGCAGGCCGGCACTGGCTACGGGAGCACCCTTAGCTGCATCCGCACTGTGTACAGGAGGGAGAGCGTAAGTGCTCCCGGGGTGGGGTCTCCTCCTGGGGACCGAGGTCACAGCCCCTCACACCGGCACGCCCAGCAGGAGGCCTGTTTATTCTGCTCATCACCTTCGGCTCAATTTTCTCTCTTCATCTCACACCACTCCTCAAATATTATGTGTTACCTAAACTTAACCCTGCCCCCAAGTGGGATGTTATTGAGGAAAAAAGCTGGTTTGGCGTCACCTCTCTGGAGAAATTCGGAGGCATTTAGAACCACAATGTGGAAAATTCCTACAAAAACAGGAGGACCTGCCAGGTTTTCAAAACCTAATGTGTGGCAGTAAACCATGTGTTCACAGGCTCCCTTTATCCCAGCATGGGGTGGAGGGTGCGGGGAGCAGGCTCTTCTGATCCCAGACACCCCGAACGGGCTTGTACCCCAGGTCGCTCCAGACCATGGACCCAGGGGTTTTCTCTGCAAAGGGGAAATTCTGAATAACATTTTGTAGAAGAAGCATCAGGTGACCTTCTTGAGAATGAGTATGTGCTTTTGGAAGACTTTCCAAGGCTCCTCCTTGGGGAATTTAAAATAAATTTTAAAATTTAGAATGAAATGACCTGTTGGTTTAAAGAAATAGTCAGGTGTAAGCCCTGTGGCAGCCCTGGGCTTTTCCTTGAGTCACTGGAAATGTGGCCCCGTTATTGACTGCTGTCCCCCCCGCAGGCTCCATCCTAGGAAGTGCCCTGGAGCTCGGGAGCCTCCTGCCTGCACCTGGAGGTTCTTCTCTTCAGTCAAAATATGTCTTGTGTCCTGGTGTTGTTCTGACTCTCTTGATCGTCTGCTTTAAAATCAGGGTGAGCGCTGTAAACCCAGCACTCGTTGTTCCGGGGTAATGTTGTCCGATTCCCGCGTCCCCGAATGGCAGCTGTTGAGCCTCCTTTTTGGCACATGTTCTCCGCAGTGTCTGCCAGCCTGCATCTCCGCTCTGGGGTTTCTGTGGGGACTGTGGGCGTTCCTCTGACACACAGCAGCTCAGAGCTAAGTGATGTCTCAAGTTATCTGAGGGACCTTGTTGTAGAGGAAGAGGCTGAAGCATGGTGCGTGCATGCATATGTGTTTGCGTGCACATGTGTGTGTGGACGCCTGTGTGAGGAGGTGTCCTGCTCCTTGCAAATAGGGGGCATGCATTCAGGTCAGGATTAGTGGGTTTGAGTACAGCCTGGAGATTTTACAATGGCTTCCCGGTGCTTTTTCATCTTTGGTGCCATGTGTGCTGCACTGACTCCTCGAAGAGCCTGTGGAATTTTCCAGGTTCGGTGGAGCATCTGTGGTGTTTGCTGAGAACGCAGTGTGTATGGACAGAAGCCACTTCATGCTGTTCATCCGGGGACTCCCCCTCTGGCTTTTTTCCAATAGACTCCCATGCTCGGGGCACCCAGCTACATGCTGGCCCAGGTGCCCCTGGGATGCTGTGGGACCCTTCTTACCCCATCACTACAGGCTTAGCACATTATATTTTAATTGCGTGTCAGTTTGTCTGGGTCCCCCCTCCCCTGCCCCCAGACTGTGAGCTCAGTGAGGGCGGAGAGTGTCACTTTCTTGTTGTCCTCCAGGGCCTGGCACGTGCCCAGAGAATGCTTTTGTTGGAGTGACACATGAGGAAAGAGTGTGTGGTGCTTGGTAAGCCCACTACCCACTGGGGCTCCATGGGCTGCCCTCAGCCACAGCCCAAGAACACTGCCACTCCAGTGACAAATGCAGGTTCCAGGCCCAGCACATCACGGCTCAGGAACCAAAGCTTCATGCAGAAGCCGGTTCCTCCTCGGGTTAAGGATGCTCTCGCCCTCCCCTGTCTCTCCCCTCACATCAGCATCCTCTTTTATTCTTTCCACCAACGTACTGGTTTGCTTCTCCTATGGGGTCTCCCCTGCCAGCCTGCAGGCTCCAGGAGGGCAAGGTCTCTGCCAAGGGCAGCATAGGCCCTCATGCTTCCTCCCCCTGGGTCTCCCCACAGGTGTTTGGCTTCTTCAAGGGCATGGCCTTCCCCCTCACCAGCATCGCTGTCTACAACTCAGTGGTGTTTGGGGTCTTCAGCAACACACAGAGGTTCCTCAGCCACCACCGGTGCCAGGAGCCCGAGGCCGGCTCACCCCGCGTGCTGTCTGACCTGCTCCTAGCCAGCACGGTGGCTGGCGTGGTCTCTGTAGGGCTGGGTGCGCCCGTGGACCTCATCAAGATCCGGCTGCAGATGCAAACACAGCCATTTCGGGAAGGTAAGCGGCCAGGGGAGGCGGCCTGGCGTCTGGGGACCTGTGGCCCTTTCCTGGTTTCCCAGCTCTGGAATTTGGTTAATGATCTTTTTATGGAGCAGGGCATCTATGTTGAATCATTTTATCTATAGTGGTAACTCTCACTGGTTAAGGATTTTCTACGTGCCCGGTGCCTGCAAAGAGCCCTGCGTGGGTTCTCTTAATTCGTCTTCAGCACAATTCTCTGAGGCAGGTGCTGTGATTTTTTCCATTTTACAGATGAGAAAACTGAAGTTCCCAGAGGTTAAGATGCTTATTCAAGGACACACAGTTAATGACTGGGCAGTCAGGACCAGCTACATAACTTGCAGCCCCCCAGGGTGAAATGAAAATGCGATCTTTTGATCACAAATTAGTAAGAATTTTAAAAGGGCGACAGCAGAGCATTGTCAAGTGGGGGGCCCTGTGTGACTGCCCAGGTCTCAGACCCACACCTGCCCCCACCCCCACACACACACCAGGGAGTGCAGCCAGGGAGGCCTCAAGCTGGACTGGCTGCAGGGCTATGAAGCGGGCCGCCCCTCCCTCACCCTTGATGTTCCATTAGAGCTTCATTTCTTTTTTTCTTTTTTTTTTTTTTTTTGCGGTACGCGGGGCTCTCACTGTTGTGGCCTCTCCCGTTGCGGAGCATAGGCTCCGGACGCGCAGGCTCAGCGGCCACGGGTCACAGGCCCAGCCACTCCGCGGCATGTGGGATCTTCCTGGACCGGGGCACGAACCTGTGTCCCCTGCATCGGCAGGTGGACTCTCAACCACTGCGCCACCAGGGAAGCCCAGAGCTTCATTTCTTATGTGCTACGTAGCTACTCCTGCGCCGCGAGCTGGAGCTGTCATCTCCTCCCTGCTGGGAAAGAGGTTTCTGACTCCTCCTGGAGCAGTTTTGATAAAGGAGGATGGAAAGAGTGGGAAGGCATTTGCTGTGCAGAGTAGATAGTGCCAGCTCCAGAGGAAGGCTGAGCTGGGGGTCTTAGACAAATTTCAGTACCTTGGGGTTTGGTCCTTGGCTCTCATTTTACTCTGTCTCCTCAGGGAAGATATTATCCCTTCCTGGGCCTCGGTCTCTTTTCTGTATAATGGAAGGATTGCATCCCAGGTCCCTCCTGTCACCTCAGATATATACCTGACAGATCTCATGGGTAAGACCCCTCTCCTTGGCAGCCTCCTGAACGGCCTCCATGTGAACCCTCTGCCCACAGAGGTGGGGGGGGGGTCGGCTCTGCCCCATGGCTGAAGCCCCAAAAGCTCGCTCAGGAGCATCCCAGGCCAGTGCCTCTCCTGCCCCTAACCCAGATTCCTCGATTCAGCCTGCACTCCCTGCTCAGCCAGGGAGGTGTCCAGGGCAGGTCTGCACACACTCTGAGCACAATGCTAATACTCCTCACAGGGGTCCCTGCTACCCCAAGAACACGAGTCACACCTGCTGGGTGCTCAGGGCCCCTGTCAGCATGCGGGGAGATGCAGGGCAACAAGCGGGTTGGCTCACCCAGAGGGTCACAGAGCATACTCCCATGGGGGCCGCCCAGGGAGACACGGGGCAGGCAGGTCCTTACCTCCATCCACCTGACATACTGAATCGTGTCTTGGTACAGCTCAGTTTGACCAAAGAGGTCACACCTCTGAGAAGAGTTTGAAGCTCACTGATCTGGTCCTATCCCAGAGGCAAAAGCAAAGATGTAGAGAAATGAAGGGCGTCGTGGACAGGCCTAGAACCCAGGAGTCCTGGCCCCCAGGCTGGTTTTTTGCGCTATCCTGTCTACTTCCAAAAAGCTGTGTTAGTCTAGGGTGCAGAGGAAATCTCTCCATAAGCCTTAAAGCTCTTTGGGGTCCAAATGTTGCAAGAGTCTCGGTGATGAGGCTCCTGGGGGCAGCCCCACCTCCTTCACAACCAGGGCACCTTGTCCATGGAAGGGGAAGAGAGAGGAGTAGGCATGCTTGTGTACGTGTGAGGGGGCCCTCAGCCAGCCTAGACACCAAGGAAGGTGTTTCTCAATAAATGCCGGGGCATTTGGAGGCAAGTTAATTGGTAAACTTTCTTCACAGTGTTTGCTTCCATTCTCTGTTCTGTCCTCGCCCACCTACACTTTCCCTGCAGAGGGTTCTAGAATGGTGGCTGACTTGGCAGGCTAAGGCCTGAGCTACAGGGGTCCTGAGGCCAGGCTAGAAGCCTCCGGAGACTGGAGGAAGGATAGGAGCAGAACAGCCAGTGCAGGAGCCTCACTTTGAGGGAGCTGAGCAGCCTCCATTAGCAGCTGCCAAAGTGGCTAAGTGTACATCGTGTCCTGACACTGTGTTAAGCGCTGAATGTGCATCATCTCATTTAATATCCACCCGACAGTGGGAGGTCAGCATGACTGTTAGCCCTGTCCATCTACCCAACACACAATAGTTATGTACCTGCTGCGTGCCAGGCTCAGGGCTAGGTGCTGGGGACACAGCGATGAACAGAAGGCTCCATCCCTCTTGTAGTGCTCTGTCCAGCAGACGGGCAGACAGGAATTGGGCCACTCCAAATAGGGTGGGTGGCAGGGAGTGGGTTGGGCTCTCAGCCAGGCTGGGGGTCAGGAAGGGCTCCGGGGCAGGTGGTGGGAGGGGTGGAAGGAGAGCGTAGAGGTCAGGACTGTACACCTGGTTAGGGCAGCACCGAGGGCCACCCATGCCTGCTCTCCTGGGCCATGGGAGCCTGAGGCACAGCCCACCTGGGCTGGGACTCTCTAGAACTGCCCGTCCAGGAAGTCGGGACCCTTCTGGAGCCTTGTTTCCTGGAGAAGCCCGCTGAGCAGGGAGAACATGGGGATGGTGTGCCCCCCCTCTCCTCCAGCATCTGGGCAGGAGGCGGTTCCGTGACCCTACTCCTGTACAGACGGGACCATGGCCTCAGGCTGTAAGTTTATCCGCATGGCGCCAGAAGGAAACCGGTTCTTAAGTAAACCGCTTGAGGCAGCAACAGAAAACGAAAATGTGTTTGTTCTGTCTTCCCGTGTGTGCCAGGAAGCTGATCTTTGGGGAGCTCAGGGAAGGCTCTTAATAAGAGACCAAGGGAGGTCCTGCACACAGATTTTTCTCAGCCCTGCAAAGCTCCAAGTCATTAGCGCCTGATCCCAGGGGCTTAGCTGGCAGTGCGGACACAAAACGGTTGACCTGAGTGGGCGGAGGGAAGGTAGAAACCAAGACTGGAGGGTCCGCCTCAGCTGTGCCCCTAGAGCCTCTGATCTGGACTAACCCAGAATAGTCACAGCCATGGGGGCCGAGCAGCCAGTATTTACTTAGCCCTCACCATGCGCCAGGCACTGTGCGAAGAACTTGGTGTGTGTTTAATCTTCACGACAACCCAATTCCTAGACATTTACAAAGGGGAGACTGAGGCACAGAGAGATTCCATCACCCGCCTGAGGTCACTGGCCTAGTGGAAGGTGGAGCTGGGATACAGACCCAGGCAACTGGCTCAGAGCCCACTGATGCTGTTTCTGCTTCTGCCCCAGGGTTTTGTAGAAGCTGGGGCTACGACAACTTTGGTAATATCTGGGCCTTTGCAGAAAATCATCATGTACAAAACCAGTTGCAAACTTTGAGGGAGGAAAGGGGACTTGGAGGATGTCTCCAAAATGACATTGTTCAAGTAGTGGGCATAGCTTGTGGGCTTCGAGGGATGGGTCTGAATTCTGTGGCTTTGGGCAGCTCCGCTCTGCGTGGCCCACTCTTCCTTACCTTCCACTGTCCCCCCAGATGCATGGGGAAAGGGCTTTGGCGACTACAGGTGCTGGTCAGGGTCACCTACTGGGGGTAAAGCATGGGAGGCAGGCAGTGGGTCACCAGGCAGGACTTTCCGCCAGGGGTCTCTCCAGAAGATGAGGAAGGGTGCAGTTATCTTTCACTTGTTCCTCGGGGACCCTCTTGGCCAGAGGTAGAAACCTCAAAGACTCACTGGGACCAGGGAGGTAACATAAGTAAGCACAGGTACCTGGAAAATGGACCCTTTTCCATTTTTGGGACACCTACAGCCCTCCCAACCTGTGTTTCGTTTTTCCTCTTTTTATTGAAACACAGAACATACTTCACTTTCCATATCACTCTGCGGTTAGAAACACAGCAGTTCAAGCACATGTGTCAGCCTTGGTGCTGGGAAGGCAGTCGGGAGTGGTGCGCACAGTTGCAAGCTGCCCAGATCCTGTGGGAGGGGTGGCTGCAACCCTGCTCTGGCTGACTGTTGCCACGTGGCCTGGATCTTCTGCTTTTTAAGAGAAGGCAGAAAGCTAGATTTTCCCAGGGTCTTCCAACTGGAAATTGTCAGATAATTCAAGTAAAGACAAAACCAAACACCAACCAACGTAACACCATGCAGCCCAAAGCATTGTGTGGGCTGGACAGTGTGGGGCTGTGGCTGGCTGCGAGCTTGTGGTCTCTGCTCTGAGTCAGGCCCGCTCTCCCTGATAACTGGGCTGAGATGGGTAATTGCAGGCTACCCTGTGCAAGACTTGTGGGATAGATCATGGCTTGTGGCTTTACCCCAGAATTGCCAGTCCACTTCCCCAGGCGGTGACAACGGGCTATGAGAGACTACGCCACGCTGGAGACGTGCAAATATAAAGCCATTGAGTTCATTCTGACTGTCTGAATGTGGAGGGAGAAAGCGCCCACCCACCCAAATACAGTCACCGTTAACACATTAATATGTTTCCTTTTCCTGTTCTGTATGCATGGATTAAATGTTTTAAGTGGTTGTACTAATGTTATATAGACAGTTTCACATCCTGTTCTTAATTCAACGTAAAACAGAAGCATCTTCCATGTTACTAAAATAGAATTATAAAATTAAAATGGATAATATTTAAAATAGATGTACAATATTCCATCAAATAAACACACGCACACACGCACACACACACACACACACACACACACTTTGAGAGGGATGATACAGTGTAGTAAGAATTCAGTTTCTGGAGTTAGGCCACCTGCTTCTAATC